AAGGGCTTTTGATTGTTTCATTGTGGGAACAAGAGTTTTATAGAATTACAAAGAGATACCATGTAAATTATAAACAGGATAAAGCACATTTACCTATTCTTAAACATTAAATTATCTGGCTACCTTTGAAGTCTGGGGTGTTGACAGACTCCCCCAAGGGACATTAAAGCACTGCTAGTTTACAGCTGCCTGCCAGCAAGGGTCTTTAATCATCAAAGACATATTGTGCTTAACACTAGAGCCTGCTGTGTGCAGTCCAGTCCCCAGCACTGTTCTCAGACAAAAGTTCTAGTCTGAGGAAAAGCGCCAAGATTTCCTCCACCCATCTTGCCACGTCTAAACAACTGCAGAAAAGCCCTCTGTTCTGTGTTACAATGCTGGTATCTGCAGGCCAAAGGTTCCGTGGGCCCTGGGAAGATATGCTACAGGACCTACCTGGTTATCAAGCCACAACAGAACACAGAGGACTGTGCCCTAAGAAACCTTGTGACCTTGCCTTTGAGATATTTAATGAAGACAATTCATCACTTAATATGGCTCTTTGCTTCTGTATATTTCTGTTTTCCTCAGCCAGGACGGCGAGTTTGAGTCCAGGCAAGGAGTTTGAGTCCATTGCCTCATCTCAAGTCAGGTGATGAGTGAATTGGAGTTGATCAAGGAGGGGCCCATCTGAAGAGGGAATCAGGCAGCTAAGGCTCTGAGGCTTGGATCAGCCTAAAGACAGGAGTCCAGGATCCTGTGATGAGTAGTCCCAGAGGTCTGTGTTCAGTGGCTGTGGGCCTGTAGAGCCTTGCACTGCTGATGTATCGGTTGTTTTGAACAAATAACACAGCTACCAGATTACAGGAGAGCTTGGGGCTGCTGCCTGAGAAGAGGAAGGACAATCTCAAAAGGATTCACACACTAGGGTGGAAATGTGTCCCGGGAAGACCTTGGCAGCAGCAAGTCTTCTGCCTTATCTACCAGGACAGACATGGGGAGGAGTTTCATGACCTTATGCCTGTGTGAGGCAATGGTTGTTTATTTCAACAGCACATCCTGAGACGCGGCTAACTGGTAACCTCAGGACAGACACAGGACTATTAAGGCAGATTATAGCCCAGCCTATCCTGCCTTTGTAGACCAGAATGGAACAAAAGAAACTTTTGAGGTTTTTCTGGCTTATTCCTGGGATTCTTATAGCCCGTTAGTTTCTTGGAAAGTGCACTACAGACTCATGCCTCTTGCCTCTAACAGCCTCCTCCAGGGCAAGAACAGTGGTGTGCGATTAGACACATCCAGTGAGGGCAAGAAGGCTCCATCAGTTTGGCTCCTAGACATGACTATGGGCATCTGTGCCAGAGTAGGCTTCATCCCATGGGTAGATGGGGTGGTGGCCATGTGCCCAAGGGAGAGGAACAACCAGGAGATGAAGAAGTAGAAAGGCCAGGATGTTGGCTCTGTGGGTCCCCATATCAGGTGGGTTTGGAGAGGCAACAACTTGGGTCCACCCTCCACTGTGTGCGGGCTTGGGACACCTGAAGCTCTAGGGAAATTTAAGATCTGATTCATGTAAATGCCATAGAAGATGAATTTATGCTCTTCCACCAGAATGAGGACCCCAGTGCGCCACTAGTAATCTATAAGCTCAGGATTTAGCAGCAGACCCATTAGATAGAAGAGCCGTGGTCCAGGATCAGGGATGTCTATCTGGTCTTACTTTATTTGTGGACCATCACAACCTCCATCACCCAGCAGCTTTGCTTCTCATTGATGTTTAGCAGAATCTGGTGGGAACAGAGAAAGGGTGGACAGAAGCTAGAACTACAACTCCAGGGGAAACACAGCTTCCAGCCTCTGAAATCACTGAAAATACCTCAGTGTTTCAGTATGGCCAATGGAGAGTTCTTATGAAATGAATTCATGTCAAAGGAGAGTACAGATTTTCTGGGACTACAAACAAAGCAGTGTTTTGCACATAGATGGCTTTGATGGTAGGTTTCAGAGAACTCTATAGAAGGAGGCTTTGTCTAAAATTAAAAGTTATTAGCTTTACTTTTCAAATACCTGTTCAAAGATGCACAGTGCCAATCATCTATCTAGGTCTGAAAGCAGAAGCTTCACCATCAACCGGGGTCATGACCGATCAGCGGGTTGTGAAACATGAAGCGGCAGAGGAGCCAGTCCCATTGCAAGATGTTCCTGTGACATTCCCTGCTAGCCTGTGCTATGACTGAGACCCTGTCTCAAATGAACAAGCAAACAAAACAGAGCAGAAACCCTGAAGCCAGTCTTCTGTGGTCTACCACTCGTGCAGTGGTTAGAACTGTGACCCCACCTTAGGTAAGTCCCCTGCGCTCTGCCTATCTCATATCCGGGCTTCAGGGAATGCCCACTGGCTTGCCTGTTGCAGGTCTACACCACTGCCAGGAGGATGCCCCGCTCCATTACTGATACTCTTTTGCCAACTCATGCCTGGATTCCAACTAGAGATGCTGACAAAGGGTGAATTTGATGGAATTGGTTCTGGTTGGGGCTTTGAACATGGCAGGCAAGTGCTGTACCACTGAGCCCTCAGCTCATGACCAGACTCATAGTCAGCTCCCGGATCCTATCTAATTTAATAGCTAGAAAGCCAGCTACTAAGTTCACTGTCAAAAACCTCCATCCCAAGCCCCCACCACACCCTGCCAGCTCTTCATGCTGACTCTACTTGGAGCCAAGCACGAGCCACCTGAACAGAGTCAAGCATTCCTGAGTAGGTACTGGTGTCATAGGCCACTGCAGAGCTACCCCAATGACTGTCCAGTTGGAATAATCCTCAGAAGAGGAATTTCTCAACCATACAGAACACACAAACCAACATCTGGTTGGCTTAGGAACTGGAGGTGTTAAGAATCTGGGCTAGAAGCTGGGCATTAGTGGCGCACGCCTTTAATCCCAGCACTCAGGAGGCTGAGGCAGGCGGATCTCTGTGACTTCAAGGTCAGCCTGGTCTACAAAGTGAGTTCCAGGACAGCCTCCAAAACAATACAGAGAAACCCTGTCTCGAAAAACCAAAAAAAAAACAAAAAACCAGGCATTGGTGACACACACCTTTAATCCCAGCACTCGGGAGGCAGAGGCAGGCAGATCTCTGTGAATTGGAGACCAACCTGGTCTACAAGAACAAGTTCCAGACAACCTCCAAGGCCACAGAGAAACCTGTTGTACCCAAGTTACAAAGTCCCCAGAGACCACCAAGAAGACCCACCAAACTGCAAAAGCAAGGTTTAATGATTGTTCATCCAACCATGACAAGGACTAGCAAGCTGACGCAGCAGCCTCCAGAGGGAGTGAAGTTCCCTATCTACTGTGAGGTTTTAAAGGCAAAAGTTGCAGGGTTACATCAGTAGGTACGGGTTGGTTTCTGATTGGTTGACATTTGGGTACAATTAGGAACACTTTTCAAAGTCATATTTTGGCATGAAATACCTGTGTACCAATTATTTGCATTGGCTAGTGCTGACAGGGAACATTCTGTGGGTTCTATGGCATTGTCTTGTTACTTGCAGCTGGCCTGTTGTACATAGATACCAATAGTTTTCAGAACTATATCCTGGAGACTACAGAGGAGGTTTTGGTCCCTCCCCCTTCCCCCTGGAGTTTCTTTTGTGGCCAAACAGTTCCCAGGAACCAAGTATCTAGGAGGCTGGGGGAAGGGAGTCTGGAGTTTCTTTGTGTTCAATTTGGCCCTAGACTCCAGGAGGCCAGATGATCTGGAGTTTCCTTGTGTCAGAGGCCTACGTGTCTTTTCTGTAGCCTGTCATGGCTGCTAAAGCAGGGGCTGAGTGAGGGTCTGGTCCCTCTATTTCTAAATTATTAGAAGTGAAGCCTTTGAGTTTAGATTACCCCTTTCAAAACCCTGTCTCTAAAAATAAAACAAACAAACAGCAACAACAACAACAACAAAAAACAGGCTTTTGCATGGGAAGTACAGGAGGCTGGACATGGTAGCATGTGCCTATGATGCCAGCACTCAGAGGCAGAGTGAGAAGGACCAGAAGTTCAAGCCTAGCCTCCTTCCCACAGCAAGCTCGAGCCTAGCCTTCACTACACAAGACTCCATGGAGCCAGGGGAGATGGTACACACCTTTAATCCCAATATTTAGAAGGCAGAGACAGGCGGGTCTCTGTGACTTCAAGGTTAATCTAAGTCAGGCTGGTCTACCTAGCAAGTTCAGGCCAGCAACTGGCTTATTTAAACTTTGAATCCAGGTTTGTGGACTCTAGATTGTAATAATTAATGAGCAAGAGATGGGCTTTTCCAGCTCCATAATTACCATTAGCCTTAAAAATATCAACTTCTGCAATATAATCAGGAAAACTTAGAGAAAGATTCGCATTTAAACCCAGAGACCAGGGGCTGATATAATGGCTCAGGAGGTAAAGCTGTCTGTTTCAACTCTGATGACCTGAGTTCAATTCCTGGGACCCACATAGTGGAGTAGAGAACTGATTCCTGACGGTTGTCCTCATGTGCACACATGCGCCACTGCAAGCATACAGTAGCCCTCACTGCTGTTCTCTGTCATCCTCATTCTCTCAGCACAGAGTTCACACTGCAGCTTTCTGCAGTCTTTAAAAGAACAAAGCACAATTCCACCCTCCTTGTCAAACCGAGTGTTCCTCTTGCCTGCCTACGAGCGCATGGGAACAGAGATCAGAAAGGGGCCCAGGAAGGGACCCTTGATGGTCCTCATTGTCTAGATACAGTTTGAATCACACCAGACTCTGAGCTCCCTTAGGGAAGGGCCTGGGCATTCACCTCCGCATCCCCAGTTTCTAAACACCACCCTGTTATTCTGGGAGGCTTCTCTGGGGGGCTTCTTTGATGTCCTTCTCCACAGCATTGCTGGGTAAGGTGTTTTTCTAAGTAAGGCAAAAACTTACTCCTAGGTGGAGAAGCAGAACTAGTGTATGCCTGTGTCTCTGCCGTTTGTTGTGTTCTGTTATGTTAGTTTGATTCAACTGCTTATTACCTGTATCAGCCGTGGAAGAACAAGGGAAAGGATGGGATTCCAGAGAACTCAGAGACCTGCTGCTGGCTCCCTGGGATGCTTCATGACCTCTGATGTCACGTGCTGTCGGTAGGTCCAAGGTACAGCTCTCCACTGACTCGCCGCTGGGTGTGTCTGCCTGGGACTCCATAGGCCTGCGAGGGAAAGCAAAACAGTTCCACACTGAAGGCTCTGCGCAGCAGGAGCTGCCCTAGATTACAGCCTGAGGAGTCCAGAAAACCAGCCACTCTCTTCCCCTAAGGCAAGGTATTTCTTCTCTTCTCCTTTGGCCTAGTGTTTGGGCACCAACTTCCCTTAACTGTGAGACAAGATACACTTTCACTGAGGAAAATCAATCCTAATGTCAGCCAGGAGCTGTAATGCCAAAGCTCAGGAGGCTGACATAGGAGGGCAGCCTGGGCTAAACAGAAAGACTGTCTCAAACCAAACAAACAGTAGCAACAACAGTAACATATACTACAAATATATGTTGTAAGTTACATGTTTCAGAGCTGAATGTTAGGACGTGGGATGTCTGATCACCAGAGAACTGCTGAGGTACTGTGTAGAACAAGAACTTGACAGCAACAGGAATATCAAGGGCTTTAGTTTTTAGGTTTTGGGGGGCTTCTGGGGTTTTAGTTGTTGTTTCTTTTCTTTCTTTCTTAGACAAAATCTCACACTATAGCCCAGCCTGCCCTGGCAGTCACTACGTAGTCCAGGATGATCTGCAAACAATGCTCCTGCCTCAGCCTCCCAAGTGCTGAGACTATGGGGCTGAACAACAACACCTGCAAAGTACTTTATGAGAAGGGAAACCATCTAGGATACAATAGTGGTGAACAAGCTTCAGTTAACAGAAGCGCTTGACCCAGATTTTATAAAATAAAGTATTAAATATGTCTGAAATACAGAGACCAGTTGGGAGCAAGGACACATCCCAGGTTACACTCTGGTTATTTATCTGGTAGTGACAATCAGATGTGCATATGCTTATTTTATAATGCAAAGGGTTTGTTTGGCCTTCAGCAGGATTTACTTTGTTTTGGCACAGTGCTCAGATTGGAATTTTGGGCATTTAATGTAAGCGATTCGAAATAAAAAGCAAAAATATCACATCAGGGATTCCTTTCACTGATGACACTCAGTGTGATGTTCTTTGAAGGCAGGTAGAATATACTAGTCTCATCTGTAACCTCTTCACTCCCTTCCACAAGCCTCCTGCACTGGGTTACATAACCGCAGCAGAAACCAGGACTGCCATGCAGAGGTCCCTGCTGCAGTGACAGGCTCGCTTAGCTGTTAGGATGCTGATGGAGAGACTGAGAGACAGGATGTTCTGTTTTTCAGAACTTTATCTTTCCACTCCTTTTAGGAATAGTCAGCTGATACCTTGGCTGGTCCTCTGCCTGAGCAAGTGTCCACAGCCTGTGACTGGGTGTCTGCCAGGTGTCAGTGCTGGTTTGTTCGTTCACTTGCTGTCTTTGCCTGACCAGCACTGGGGCTGCTCCAACTTGAAGCTATGAGCCTTCAGACTGAGCTCCTTCAGTGGGAGCAGCTTTTAATGTGTTTCTTTGGGCAGCTTTGTGTGCTTCCCATGATGTCTGCATCTAAATGGAATGGGGGTAATGAGTGGATTATTGCTGCACGGGGTTATTGTAGGTGAAGCACTTGGGGTAGGGGTCATATCTACTATCCCTTGACAAAGGTGAGCTCTCGTGACACTGCTCATATTATTCTGAAATTGCCTCTTCCATTAAACATCTGTCTTTGACACCTAGCCCTGCATAATGAACTGACATCGTTTCTCCTCTGAAAAAAAAAGAAAGACTGGGAGAAAAGACAGCACAAGAACAACATCCGCATTCACACCACAAGAAAACCAAAGCCAAGGCCGGGCATTGGTGGCACACGCCTTTAATCCCAGCACTCGGGAGGCAGAGGAAGGCGGATCTCTGTGAGTTTGAGGCCAGCCTGGTCTACAGAGCAAGTTCCAGGACAGCCTCCAAAACAATACAGAGAAACCCTGTCTCGAAAACACCAAAAAAAAAAAAAGAAAAGAAAGAAAGAAAAAAAAACAAAACCCTGTATCTATCACAAGCACACCTAGTCCTCTACTGAACATGCACCAAGGATATGACTTCAAAGACTGGAGGTGCAGCTCACTTACACTGGGAGGGCCTTGGCACCCTCCTACAGTCCCCCACCACACACACACACCAAAAATGGAAGAGAATGACTATATTTCAGGACTAAATGGAATTCAAAGTCATTTTATATTAAAAATCATTCATTCTTTTGGTTTGTTTGTTTTAGACAGAGTCTCATGTATCTCAGGCTGACTTTGAACTTCTTGTGTGGCTAGAGATGACACTGAACTTTGAACTTCTGACTCTCCTATTTCTACGTCTGACACATTGGGGTTACAGGTGTGTGCCTGGCTTGTGTGACACTGGGGAGCAAATCCAAGACTTTATTGATGATAAGTGAGCATTCAGCTAATTCTAACGGAGCTACATCCTCAGCCCTCAGAGTTATTTTAACCTCTGTCAATCCATCTGGATTTCCCCACACATTATTAATAGAATAAAGAACAAACCCACAACAGACACATGGGAACTTTTGACAAATACTGTTTCTTGGTTACTCAACACACTAGGAATACAAAATGTCTTCTTCAACCATATAAAGAGTGGTTTTGAAAAATCCATAGTAAAGATGGTCAGTAAGACCAGCTAAACACTTTCATCTTGAAATCAGGTGCAAAACAGGGATGTCTACACTCGTCATTTCTAGCCAACATTGTGCTAGAAGTTTTAGACAGCACGATTAGCCAAGAAAAATGAAAGGAAAGGTATCTGGGTTGAAAAGAGAGCTATACAGCTATCCCCATTACCAGAACACAGGGGCAGAGAATGCAGCTTGGTGGGAAAGCACTTGTCCAACAAGTACCAGGCTCTGGGTTCAATCCTCAGGGCAAAAATCAAACAAAACCCAAAGACATGCTCTTACACAGAAAACCATAAGGAATCCACAAAATAAATTAGAAAGTAAACAACTTACACAGGGTTGCAAGATTCAAGACCAACACCCATACAATCACTTGTATTTATGTAATCAACAATCTCAAAGGGGAATTAGAACCCATTTCCATTTCTAAAAGCACAGAAATACAACAGGACTGCATTAAATAAGCTTAAGATATGTACTAAAGAAAAAGAAGACATTCCAAGTTCAAGCATCAGAAGCCATCTTAAGATGGTACTATTCAGCAGAGGTGGTGGCACACACCTTTAGTCCCAGCAGAGGCAACCCCACCCCTGTGAATTTGAAGCCTGCTGACCTAAATAGCAAATTCCTGCCCAGCCACAGCTACATAGTGAGACCCTGTCCTGAAATGAAATAAAACAAGATAAAATTTTAAAAATGATGCTACTAGTGCCTAAATTAACCTGAAGAACAAGGGAAATTAGTGCAAGCCAGATGTGTTAGCACACTCCTGTGATCCCAGTCAGTGTCTGGGGGCAGACAGCAGGACCTTGAATTCGGGGTCAGCCTGGACTGTATAGCAAGACACTGTCTCAAAAGGCCAAACAAAAGAAATCTCTATAGTAATGAAGACCATGGGCTGGCACAAAGACAGTGAAACTGATGGGCAGTTGGTGGAGTACTTTGGAAAACAGGAAGGTCCTGATCAACAGAAAAATAAAAATATGCAATAGGATTCAATTCAGCTATGACTATGAATATATATACATATACATACAAACATACATACATACATGCATACATTAAAGGAGTGCAATTCTCTGAAGTCCCAACAACAAGCCTTACAAATCCCTGGCCAAAGAAGGTAGTCACATACTGTTTGATTTCGTTTATGTAGCATGCAAATTAGGCAACTATAGAAACAGATGGTACAGTGGTCTGGGGCTGGGGTGGGGGCAGGTGGTGGGCGGGGCGATGCTACCGGGTTCAGGACTGTGTTCCTCAGAATCTTTGGGGTGATGAACAATCCAAGGTTGTGATGATAACTGCACAATTCCGCTAAGGTATAAAACGGGTTGTAGTTTACCCTGTGAACTTTATGAAAACATCAAGTTACTAATATGGCTGTTTAAATTTACAATAGACTCATGCCTTTAATTCCAGCAGAGGCAGGAAGATCTGTAAGTCCCAGGTCATCCTGGTCTACATAGTGAGTTTCAGGACAGCCAGGGCTATGTCGAGAGAGACCCTGTCTCAAAAAGCAAAACCAACAAAACAACAATAATTCGAACTAGTCCCGATCCCGACTGCTAAATTCCAGACCCGATAAGAAGGATGCAGTGGGCGGGGTTCGGGGCGGAGGGGCCGGGCAGGTACTGGGCTAGACCGGCTTCTCCCTTCCCTCCTCGCTTCCCTGCTCCCTTCCCAATGGAGTAGAAAACCGGCAGAGATTCCTCCTCCAGACTCCGTGTCACTCACCCCACGACAAGAGCCCGGAACCGGAAGAGCCGACTCCATCTTTGTTGTGGGAAAGCGAGGTTTAAAAGGAAGTAGTCTTTGCTGAGGCCGGAAATGGGCAAAGCAAGGCCGCTGCGGCCATCTTAACTGAGGGCATATGCCTGGCTTTGGCAGCATGCAATTTCTAGATGCTGTAAGTGGAGGGTACCAAGGAACTGGAAAACAGCATGAAAAATGTCTTAAAAAGAACATAAGAAAGAAGAAACCTGGCCTGTGAAGTCCACTCTGAACCACAGTCCTGGTGAAGAGATTGAGTGAGGAGGGACGATCATAAGCTCTAAGGCCAATAAAATCCTCTCAAACAACATGAAGGACACTATTTTAACATTGTTGCATGGATTATATTTGGGCTAGAATTTCAGATTCAAACAAAAAGATGAGAAAGTTCGAGGCGCTGGAGATATGGCTTTAGCCACAGGGCGTGTGAACGCTTGGCCTGGGTAGGTGAGGTTCTAAATTTAATCTCTAATATGTTCACCCCCTCTCAAAATGGACACAGTTAGAACAAACTCGGCCTGGAGCGATACAAGAGTCCAAGAGCTTTATGGTCTGCTTACAGGAAAACATAAAGAAAAGCCTGCGTTCTCCTATGCTGTCTTTACAGGTTTAAACAAGGAGACCCAGTTCTCTACTGATTGGTCTACCCGAACTGTTGAGAAAGCAAGTTTGTCTCCCAGCTGATTTAAGTGGCACTTAGCACAAAGACTCCCCTCCAGTTTGGTCCTGTCCACTGGGCCCTACTATAAAAAGCTAATCTAAAACAATTCTGTTTAACTAAACAATTTTCTCCCAACCATATTCTTGAAGGAGTCCTGTATGTTCACCGCCTCCTTTAAATGCTTACTTTTGGTTGAGACCTCACACATTAGGACTCCTGCACTTTACAGAAATGTTTTTAAAAATAGTACTCAAGGGTCTAGAGAGATGATTCAATAGTTAAGAGCTCTGGCTGGTCCTCCATGGAACCTGTGTTTAGTTCCCAGCACCCATTTGGCAGCTCACAATCTTTTGTAAGTCCAGTTCCAGGGGATCCAGTTCACTTGTCTGGTCTCCTAAGGCACACACATGTTGCACAGACATACATGTAGGCTAAACACCCATACACATAACTTTTAAAAAGTAATTTTTAAAATCTTATTTTAAATGGCACTTGAGCCAGTTGTGGTGATGCATGTGTTTAAAATCCATCACTCAAGAGGCAGAAGCTGTTCTCTATGAATTCAAGGTTATCAGAATCTAATTATCCATCCCAGGCCAGCCAGGGATAGAGACCCTGTCTCCAAAAGGAAAGAAGGGGAGGGAGAAGGAGGGAGGAAGGAAAATAAAAAAGAAAGGAAGGAAAAAAAAAGAAAGGAAAAGAAAGCAAAAAGTACATGAGGTTAGGCCATTCAATACTACATACTGTGAAGATATGTGCAGATGTAAAGACTTCTCACCATCCTCCCTTCCAGCCCTCTACCTACACACTAATTATATGTTTCTTTTAAATACTCCATGCTTGTTCTTTCTCATCCTAACTTTTTCATCACAGCTTCATTCCTAAGGAACATTCTTCTCTCCCTTCTTGTTTTTGTGATATTTCAGATGTCAGCTTCAGAAAGTTCTCCGTCCAGGAGCCTCCTCTGACTTGTCAAATGGGAGTTGACTATTCCTCCCAGGAGACCTACTTTCTTCTACTTATCCCTTTAAAGTCTTGTGCCCTTTCTCCATTTCCCAGAGAATAAAAGCTGTCTCAAAGACTAGCTTTTGCATACTTCTATCCTGATCCCAGTTCAGTGACCCAGGTCGATATGCCTCTGTGGTCAGGAATGGGCGAGTAGTCCCTTCTCAGGTATCGCTCTTCTCCACCCACACCTGACTCAACAATTACACTCAAACATGACTGTGTCACCTATTACCAGTGGCGCAAAAACTTGGGGCCTTTTGCCATTATCACCTTTGTTCTTTGATAAACAATTTAAGTGTCTACTTTATCTCTCACAGGTTTTGGTGTCATTTTTCCATGATGAGGCTTGCTTTTCCTATGATGCTTCCTGGAGCAAAGTCTGGAAGTCTAGATAATGTTGTTTACCTTGTAGTCTGTTTCTGACCAGCCTCTCCCACCACTTTCTGGGCACCAGAAATGAAAACTGATTGAAGTAGATATCAAAGCAGAATATTAAGTTGGGTATAGTGCACGTCCAAGCACT